GTACCAAACCTCTCTCCCAGTATGCCATAACGACAGGTTTCACTGCGTGATTTTTCCCATGTCCCTTATCCAATAGTTCACCAACATCTGTTTACAACATCTCCCTTGTCCAAACCTTAAATGCTTTAACCTTTATCAAATCTAGCTCAGACAATACTGATTTAGCTGCAGACTCATACGTTATACCTTCATACTCCATTCTTGGCCTTATCAAGGATACAGAAATATGTTTTAAAGATGCTCTCCATTCCAGTCCTATCAAGTATCTCATAACATTAATCACCTTATTACATTTTTTCTAGCACTGACTGAACAAGCAGGACAAGTTATAAATTGATGGTAATGAGCAACATAAAGCCGAGGTAGGTAAGATAACATAAGGCGGGGAGCCTTAACAAAATAAAAGTCCAGAACAGGAAGCCAGGTACCAACAAAGACACAAGTGTCCTTTAGTGCTAAACCATGTTCTGTTAAGTGTAGGTTAGTTTCCTTCAGCTGCTGTTCTGCCTGTGAGCAGTTTGTTTTACTATTTTTTCTTATCTCATGCAGAGATAGTTGCTGTTCTTGTGTTATTTGCCAAGTGATTATTGTTCTTATAGTTAACAGATTACTGTTTGGCTCCCTAGCTTTTCTGTTTGTAGACTGTCTACAGTATTTCTCGTCATTAGAGCTGTTAGTGTCTTTGTGTATACCTGCAGTGTATAGTCTGCACAAGCCCTTTATGTTGGTATAGACATTCGGTAATTATCTAGTGTTACCCTTGCTTTGGCTCATTCTATGTTCTGCTTCTACTGCGGTGTACATAGTGCCTCAGCTTGTATTTTGCTTAGACATTCTGGATTAAAACAACAAATCACTTCATTTCCAGTTATTATCAATCTAAATGAATCCACTGCCAAATACAGGAGCTTGTTAAAACTCAAACATGTGTTTTTTACTGGGGCGCAGCAGATCAATAACGACGCTGGAACATTAGTACAATAATACTGGGAAAAACAGTTCTCTGTATAATTTGCATATGTTACTGCTTTAGGTAGGAAAAATGACCTGTGTCAGAGCAATGCCACTGAAAACCACAGGCTCTATGGGATATGTTCCGTACACATTAGTTCTGGAGCCGGTCTTGTGTCAAAAACCGTCGAAATGAGTTTCCCCCTGTCCAAATTGTGTTTGTAGTAGTGCGCCCCTCCGTAGTTATGGTTAGGATAAGGTTAGGTTTCAGGTTAGGAGAAACACATCTCGACAGGGGAGAAGATGTTGACACAACACCTGTAATTACTACAGAGCTACATGACTCTAGTCTGTCCCCAGCTATAGTGACACATATGACGTGGTTTCACAGACAAGGCAGGAGGGGCAAAGAGGAGCAGAGGGAGAAGAGGAGGAGTTCCTGCCTGAGTTTGTTTTGATTCTCACTCACTCTCTATTGGTTGAAAGTCAGAGTGAAAGTTAGAGCTACTTTAAACTTGTTTTAATTGTTTTTATCTTACAGTAAAATGGTTTAATCTACGTTTGAAATCTTATGATTTGTCTGTTTTGATTGCTTTTGGAAAGTGCTTTATAAATATTAATTATCATTATTACAACAAATTGTATTGCAAACTGGCCAGCAGTTGTTGATATAAGACTGTTTGTGTTCCTAAAAGAGACTCTTGCTTCTTGATAAATATGTGTTTTATTCAAAAAAAAAATGCTGAGAGCACAAACAAATAGCAAATATCTCAGAGTGGAAGATTGTTTCAGCTGCAGAATGACTGCAACAGTTTGATAAATAAATGAAAGCTGTCCCTCTGAATCAATTATTCATTAAGTTCTGTAAAGACTGAGCTGTTCTTTAACAATCACATTAAATCCATAGAGACAGGTGACTAATCAGTCAGTGCTCCAGTGTTGTCAGTCAATAAAAAAACAAATAAGTACGGTCTTATTTGTGCTTTAGAGAGAACAGGAGTTATACAGGATAATTGGTTGGGGAACAAAAGGGACTCTGTGCATAGGTGGGTGTGTTCAACAGTGGTTCACAATGTTTCTGTCAGTTTCTCAAATCAATACACAGTTTAATTGGCTCATTTATTCCCAAAACTGAATACAAGGAGAAAATTGAACACACATCACCACGTATGCATGCACCCACACAGATACACTTCTCACTCCCTGACCGCGTGTTGCTGTGTGCAGTATACATCAATACACTCCCACCTACAGACACACATACATTGAGTTCTGGACATGTGATCCCATTTTAACATTCCAAATAAGCTGCGGACACTAGCAATTAAGCTATTTTTTGCCAAGACCCCTAAATAAATCATTAGCTATAGTTCTTATTCTTCAGAGGGTTGCAAGAGGGAAGAATCGATCCCAGATGACACTGGATGAGAGGTAGGGTACATCTTGGACCTCAGTCCACTGAGGCCTCAGCACAGCGAATCAGTGCAGGAGAGGAGAATGGTTCAGGAAAGGCCCTTCAGCCTGGTCCTGTAGTCTCCATGGAATCTCCTTGTTTTTTCTTCCACAAACAAAAGACCAAGGGCAGAGAACAGGTGTCATTTGCAACTTCTTATCAGACATATTCTCAATTAGAAGCAGCTAAAAACAGCAGTTGTCTTGAACGAGAGGTCTTTTGTTTATACAGTAGCTTATACTTACGTAGTCTAGCTCTTTTTCCCTTTTCTGAATGGTGAACACAGATACTACCACCTGATGGTAGGGGGACTTATTACTGTCACGCAGGTGCAGAATGTATGTGTTAGTTGGCCATTGGCTGCATCTGTGTGGTGTTCAAGTGTCACTTTTTCAACCCAACTAGCCCACACAAAGCAGATGTAAGACGACACAGCGGTCTGCCTTTGTTGGTGGTAATTCTTTCAATTTGTCTTGGTGTGTCTCTGCCCTAAAGAGTATGGTCTGTTGTCAGTTCAAATATGTCTAATCCAACAATCCTGCAATAAATCCACCTTCATTAAGGATTATATAGAGAGGTGTTTGTTTTTAATCTAGACTCACTGATATAAATGTGGTGGGCAAAATAATAAAAACAAATTAAAACAATACAGGTTACCACAAACTACATCTTTGAAAATTATATTATAGTTGAATCAACACCTCTCTGAAAGAGTCTGAACACAAACTGAGCATCATTGAACTGACCATTATACATTTAAGGGGGATTTACTGCAGTAGGCTTCTGTTAGATTACACTGCACTAGTTTTTGCCAGTAGTACCTAATAAATTCACTGTTTTGCTCTTTTATTTGCTAATCGAACAAAAATGTGTGAGGCTAGAACACAGCTGCCACAGTCAGCCCAGCAGCAGCTATACTTCATCAGGTGGCACAGAAAAGCTGGGTTGAACCGTTGCCCTCTCACCCAGGCTAGCCTTAAGCTAGTTAACAATTTGTGTCTTCCATGGTCCACTGCTGCTTTGATTTCACATCAACAAAGCTCATGTTTTTCTTTTGGTATTGAAAGTTAGACTACACTACTCTCTTGTTGTGGTAAAATGTAACTGTGTTATCTCAAAGTATTCAATTACTTTGTGGGTGATGTCAGTTGTATGACTTTAATGTACATGCATACAAATAAGAAGAAAAAGAAAATGTGTCATTGGTAAGGTACTGGTCATTTATAACCAACTGCCTAAAGGCATGGCTATAATTCAGTCAGACACATTTTAAGACTTTTTTTTTTTTTTACTTATTTATTTTTGCCACAAATGGATTGGTGGATGGATTGGTGGATAGCTATGTTGGAGGAAAATGCTCAGAGCTGAATTGTTCTCCCAAAGGGAGTCAAGTGCGTGTGAGAATCAGGGGTGGTGGGTATAAGTATGTTTGCTGGAGGTTAAAAGGTGAGTCAATTTATAGTGGCCTGAGGCAGAAGGCTGGAGAGGGGAAGGTGTGAGGGAGAAAATGGAGATGAGAGGGGCTGAAGAGGAGGTCACAGCTGCAAAAAGAACAAGTGTGTGTTCATCCATTTAGATTGGAGGGACATCTTAATGAGGACGCTTCTGATGTTATCACTGTCTAACAGCACAAACCCAGATACTCTGATTCTGCTCATCTCCCTGCTGCGCTTCATTGGCAGCACCAAGGTTTTTGAGAGACACTTCGACACCTGCAGATACTACAATACAAAACTCCCGGTGTGACAGGTTATTACAAGCATCAAGCCTGCTGAGCTGCATGGAAGTTCCCTGAAAAACTATAATCACATTCATTCTACATGTATTTCCATTTAAAATACAAAAATAAACGGTATAATGAAAATGCCATTTTAAAACATATATGTGATCTGTACTACAGAAAAATAGAAAATAAAAATATTTGATATTTTCAGAAGATTAATCATTTTCTGTGCTAATTTAAACAATACAGTTCTTTTGCAAAAAAAAAAAAAAAATAAGTACAAACTTTCCTTAAAGAAATATTAACAAAGCTGATCTAATCTGATCGTTCATCAGTTCGCTCATCTCATTTATTTTTTATCAGCTGCTCACAACAGACTTGTTTTGTTTCTCCGTTGTGTGTGTATGTGAGAGAGATTACTTCTCTTTGTTCTCTCAGTGGCTGTCTATGTTTCGCCATATCTATTTCACTCTCTTTGCTGTCAATGGGAGAAGCTGTGCACCAGAGAGCACTTCACACTCTGCTGTAGGGTGCATCATGTGGGAATACATGTGTGTTTCCACACACAAACCAAGGGCTGAAAAAAAGAAAAAAAAAACTGAGATGCATTTGTTGTCGGCATGTTGTGTGTGTGCATAAAGCACAGGAGACTGGCACTGGGGGCCGAGGTTCATTTCTTTTCTCACCCTTCAAGTCAAAGTAAACTCATGTTTAGCTAACTCAGTGTTTTCTGCTGGCACAGTGTTAGCATTCCTCATGTTTTGATTTTAATAAACAACATTGATTGCGTAACTGTGTAAACAGCTTGTATCGTTTCAAGATGCTGTTATCATGGCAGTTGAGAATAACTACACAACTAGTGTTTAAATGAGTTTAATCCACATGTGTTCCTGTGTTGTCTCTGAAGTGTCTGACTCCAGCTCTGCCAAACACAAACAGGCCAAACATAGCCGTCATGGCTGCATATGATTTTAACACGGTCTTGACTGCTGTCAGAAAGTCTGGATGTGAAGTCACTGACTGGCCCCACCCCAAATGTGCGTAGACCAACAGGTGTATCTCAGCAGCCTGGCGACACTGCAGCCAACAGTAGTAGATACCTAATAAAACAGATATTTTAGTCAAATTAAGCAGCTTAGAATATCATAAACACACTATAGCTACAATTTGAGATATTAGAAACAAACTTACTCAATGTCCAAAATATAAATAAATACAATATAAAGCTTGGCAAATAAAAAAAAATTATATGGCAGCTTTCTTTTTCACTTGTTATTGAAGCAATTACTTTGCAAAGTAATAGTTTATCTTGCAAAGCGACACTTTTAGAATTTAAAAGTTTGAAGAACAGTGTCATGCTCAAACTTAGATAAAGAATGTGGGACGACTTTTTTTTCAGAAAAGAAAAGAATCAGACAGAACAGCTATAGTAAATGCCAGCTACCCTCCTCTTCCAGTGGAAACAGTAAAGAAACAGAGCTTGCAGGCAGGAGCACTTTAACTCTGTCAGAGGCCCCTGAGTGTGGTCTGTCCATTGGCTCTTTTCCAGCATCACCACAAGCAACAGATTCACAGTACACACAGCACAGAATGCAAATCATAAGACAAGCTTCACCACATAAATATTAATTCACTTCATTTATGCTTTGTCACATCTTTCAAGTAACACAAAAATCCCTTTCCAGCAACTCAGCACAACAGTAAAGGCTATCAATACAACAGACCACCCCTGATACACTGTAAGCTGTATATACAGTCTACAAGACAGAAATGCCAGAATAACAAGCATTCAAATTAAAAACTAACTTACTAGGGCAGACTGGTCAGCATCTCTGTTGTGACAAGTCTAGGTCCACGTGAGCCCAACAGCTACAAACAGTGCATCAGTGACATGCCAGGGCTGTATAGACCTGTGCTTATAGCCGCTGAGGCACCTCAGTGTCATATTTGGAGGTCTTTCCTCCTTGCTAGTGCTGTCTTAAACAGCAGTTGACCCTGCTCTGGATAAACTTGTTTCAGTAGTTTCTGAATCATTGAGCAGTTCTACAAGTGCCAGATTTTGGTCTTCTTCATAGTTACTTTCCGTCATCTTGACTTACACATGAGGCAAAATGCTAATATTAGTGTTGCCTCAGAGTTGTGAGTTGCAGGACCTGGACATACCCCTTTGTTGTCCAGTTAACTTTGGTCATTTTTAAAGTTACTCTTGGTCTCACTTCTCTTTTTCATTTTGAGAAACTGTTTTGTTTAGGTTTTATTCAGTCAAGAGGTTGCCAAGGCACCTCATAACATGACAACAATGTGACACCAAATTGACCAGCAACAAATATCACCAACAAACTGACCAATCAAACACTACTTGTTTTGGCTGATGGATACATGTGTAATTTAGTAAACAGCAGCTGATACCTGAGTCCTGAGTTTTTGCAGGTTTAAACAGCAGGTGGTGTCCGGGATCTATCACCAGTCGTGGGGATGTGGCGCTGAGGTTACCACCTGCCGAGTGCTCAGATCGGTAGATGGGCTCAGATCCTTTGTCCCAAGCCACAGCCATGTTAGGTCGTGCCCCAGGGCAAGCTAGGGCCAGAACACTGTCCGCTTGGTGGTTCACATAGAACACTGGCACCTTCACTGGCTTAGAGGCAGAACTGCAACTCAGAAAGAGAAATTAAGAGATATTAGACAGACATTTTCATTCAGCAGTTTTACCACAACTGAAAAGTGAGAAACAACACGACATACATTAGGTTGTTATTGTTTATTAAACCAAATAGTCTAAACACACATTGGATGGTATATTTTGTGTTCCTTTTAGGCAATTTCTAAAAAAAAAAAACTTTAGCAGTAATTGACTTTGACACTGCCAGCAGCAAATTTGTCAATCCAACAAATACCTGGATCCCAAACAAAATATCTAATCTATATCTATATTCATGATCCCCAGAGGATGATTCCTGTTGATTCTGGTGGCCTGCTGGCCTTGGTTTTAGTGTCTGTATCAATTAAATGTCTGTTTAAACAACATTTGAAATACTCCTTGCTAACATGCCAAATAAACCTTTGGTGGTGAACATGTTAAACATTATACCTGGTATACATTAGTATATTAGCATTGCCATTATGATCATGTTAGCATACTGATGTTAGCATTGAGCTTAAATTGCTATAAGCATAACTTACTGCAAGCTAGCCTGTATACTCTTGTTTAGGACAAATGTTATGAGTATACAAACAGTAAAATCTTCGATACATGGTTTCCAGCTATGATTTTGTATTGTGCTGTAGTGTAAAATCTAAGTGATGCCAGTGACTAATAAAATGATTACAATATATGAACTGAAACATGTATTTATCTCTACTGTAGTCACTCTTCTGTTTAAAAAGGATTTCTATGTTCAAATCTGTCTGCCAACCTGTGTTGTATTTATCTTTGTATTATATAAGTGCTTACCTGTACCCAAGAAATGTCATTAAAGCAAGGAGTTTGGAGGAGGGAGGGGCCTGAGCTGGACAAGCCACTTGACAGCCTGTGACCTCCAACTTAGCTCCGACGCTGCTTAGTTTTAGAGGACCAAAAGCCCTGGGCACTGCCCCAGAGCCACATGAAACAGCTGTCTGATTGGCCTGTCTGTAGCGTATATGCAGGAAAGGGGAATTGATGTAGCAGAGTCCAACACGGACCTGTTCCCCTGGTACTCCACAGCGATCACACAGTGACCAGGGCTGGAAGCTGGTGAAGATCTGATATGGTGACCGAGCGGAGCCAAGTTTTTTTCTCTCCCACTTCTTGCTCAGATTTTTTGGGGTGAGCCTGAAAGCATAAAACCAGTGGATGATTGTGATTAACTAAGGCCTTGAAATGTGAGCAGATCATTAAAGGACGGGTTTTCATTTTGTTTGTTTTACTTAAAACAGTTTCTACAAAAAAGATGCTTTGTTTTTTCTCTTTTCTTTCACCTCCCCCACAGTTTGTATTTGTATTACTAAACACTCATATTGAGGACACACAATTTAGAACTAAGCGTGTCACAGTGCTATAGAATAGATATAAAATATAAAATTAATTCTCCATCCTTTTTTCTGAATGCTAAGGAATGCTGGAGTAATAAACAATAAATGGGAAAGTTTTAGCTTTTTTGGTCCGTACATTAGGCATTGCCCCAATAACAAATAACTTCACATTTGGCTACAGCTTCACTACTAACCTGTCAGTTTTGTGATCATTCATTAAGGACCAATTGAAATGCCATAGTTCTCAAAACACCAGTAAGCTCATTACCTACTTTATCCATCAGTCATCCATGATTTGAGCCATTTAACAGTAAATGGAATCAAATAAGAAGCCTCAGTGGAGTCTCCACTGATGATGGGGTGTCTCTATAAACTAGGCAGAAATGACTCAATTGTATGTAACATTAAAATAACATATCCATCATCAGTCTCAAACTTTAACACACCGATTTCCTGTAAAGTCATAAACATTAATGAACTGTCTTTCTCATCACCTTGGAGTGAAGCTGAGTGTGTGCACCTCCTGAATGTCCAGGTCAAAACCATAGAAGAAATCTTTATGGGCAGAGCCACAGATATAGATGCCAGTGTCATCGGGCCCCACCCTGAAGATCAACAAGCTGAAGAGACGGATAGAAAATCGACTCCGCAGGTCACCACTGTGAGGGACCTGACTGGTGTCCAGCAGCTTATTACCATGGTGATCGGTCAAGGCTCTGGTCTCCTCAGAGCTATCCAAATGTTTCTTAAAGAACCAGACAACTGATTTGACCTGAAACACACAGGGAATAAAATGACCACCAAATGATTATCAACCAGTGCTGAAAATCAATAATGTTGTTCATCTGATCTTTACCAGTACTAATCAAATTTCTTGCCACATATGCTGAGCTTTAAATCTCTTTATTTCTGAAAAAATAAATGCATTCAGTATACTGTCTCCATGTGCGTGGAGCAGTGGTTAATGCTGTCACCTTACAGCAAGAAGATTTTGGGTTCAAACCTGCCAGCCAGCTCCAACCTTTCTAAGTATAGTTTTCATGTTTTCCATGTGCTGGCATTGTTTACCCCCACAATCCAAACTCTAAATTGCTTGTAGGTATGAATGGTTGTCTCTCTCTAAGCATCAGCCCTGTGATAGACTGGCGACCTGACCAGGGTGTACCCCGCCTATCACCCAATGGTCGCTGGGATTCGCTCCAGAACTCCAGTGACCTTCTTCAGAATAAGTGGTATGTACAGTATAATGGATGGGCTGAGAATGGCTGTCTGCCTCTGTCTGATGAACACCAGTGGGATCAACTCTGAAAGGAAAAGCTGATGGATGGATGAATTCTCTCTTTTGTTATCCATCTATCTCATTTTTGCACACATCTTCTATCCTATAAAGCTGACTGGAGGCTGTGAATTGCAGCAGCAGAAAGGTTCGATAATAACTCCAGCCTTTTTCACATCTGGAATTATACAAAGCAAAAAGAATTACATTTTCTAGTAATTATTATTATATTCTGATTGGTTGGGAGGTCTTTTAAAATTTTGGTTACTACTACAGGTACATCAATGCTCATCCAATTGCTGAAAACTACACCATCAACAATGGTACATAAATTACAATACTTTGCATTGGTATTACCTTGTGAGGATCACATTGTCTTTTTGTGAAGGTCATGGTATGTGATCACACAGTCTGAGGTGCTCTTGTGACTAAATAAAGGAGTCAGGGGAGTAGATGGAATGTCACTCACTTTATGTGGTAGTGGTCTCCACGCATTCCATAATTTTGTAAGATTTGAACACCATCTTGTGCATTATCACTCACCTTAGCATCATTCACTTCAGAGCAAGGTCATGTTGGTTAGGACCCAGGCTGCTGGGTTTGTACAATGTCAGTGAGCACTAGTGTGGTGTAGTGTTGTGATTAGCAGGAAAACATTTTTGACTACATTTGGTCAAAGAATTTTATTTTAGAGCAGTCTTTTATAGCAGGCCTGGAATGCTGCAAGATTTGTTTACATTAATTTACAACAGGATTTTATGTTTTTAGCCTATAGCCCAGACTGGTGACCTGTCCATTGTGTACCCCACCTCTCACTGAATGCCAGCTGGGATTTGACCTTCAGTACAATCTGAGAAACCCAACTCTGACCTGGCAGAAAGAATGGAAATTAATAGCTAATTGGCTTATAGGTCTTTGTAAAATCCAGTATACGACTCATGCTGGAATGTCTCATATAAAACTAGAATTACTGCTTCATCGATCTATGCCTCTGCCAATCAATCCAATTCACAAGAATGGGAGAGACATCAGATCACTGTGACCAAATCTGAAGACATTTCTGCAACTTCAATTGTGCCAGTTGAGCTCATATTTAGATATACATCCTGTGGGAGTTTTATTTTTGAATGGAAATAATCAGGGAAAAAAATCTTCATTCAAACCTAAATGTTGTCCCATAATAAATGAATCCTAAGTTTATTGGTAGTTCCTGTTACCTGCTGTGGTTTGCAGTGGCAGGGCAGCTCTACAGTGACTCCAGCTGGGTAGGCAGCATTGGTGAAGGTCAGGAAGGCGGGGCATGCTCTTTTAGCAAACACATCCTGCTGATCCTCAGGAGCCTCGTAAGTCTGCACGTCAGCACACTGAAGGAGGAGGAGGAGGAGGAGGAGGAGGGGAGAGGGTGGTGTAGAAGGCATTCAGCTTGTCTGAAGACAAAAAAGATTCTTACAAGTTAGAAATATGTCAAGAAAATATCTCAGAGACACTGCCAGTGTGTCTGTTTTCTCATATTTCACCTCTGAAGAATGAAACTTTAATATCTTCATTTTCAAAACACAATATCTGGTAGAATCCAAAGAGCTCACCAAGGATTTGTCTCGTTGTCAACGCAAACATCACAAAGTCCTAGTACATTCTCTGATGAGTACAAACTATACTCTTTGGTTGTGTATCAGAGCTCCACAAAGTTATGTTGCAGTGGATTCATCAAAAGCCTCTGGTCTGACTGAATTCTCAGCTCCTTTCTTTCTTTCACTCAAGTTAAACACATTCATTCTCCGTAAAAATGTCCAGCATTTCATCTGTTGTTTCTCTTGGCCTCTGGTTGCTATAGTAACAGTGTTTGCCAATGTTGAACTATAAAAATACTCTAAGACAAGGCATTACAAAAGTTCTTTTGGCTAAAACAGAAGAGCAAATTAACTATAACATCAATACAAAGCTACAGACCGTCCGTCTTTGTACAGTATCTTTGTGAGTTAAAAAGTTTCCAGTCACACCACCCAAATAAAATTTTATCTCACAGAGTTGTATTACTTTATGGCATATCACAGTCATGTATCTGTCTTTTTAAGTGAAGCACCAAGTGCAACTTTTTGACTTGTTGGAAAGGGGGTGCTGTACTCTGATACTTTTCCCTGTATCCTGGGTTCATTTGATGAGGATACAAAGAAACAAATAGATGGAATTGGTGAGCTTCAGTAATGTGCAGAGGTTTGACAGTTTTTTGTTTTATTGTGATTTTTACTGGATAATTTGAGAAAAGTTGTGGAATACAAAGGAATAGGTGATTAGTTTGACATGCACAAGTAGATTTCTAGTTTATCACAGAGATTGCACCATTTTAATGTACAGTAGGTAATTCAAAGTAAAGTTCGAGAGAATTGTTGAGACATATTCAGCAGCCTCACTACTCTAGGTGTGATATCACTACTACAGCCCCTGACTCTTTCTCTTCATAGAGACCAATGTACAGTGTTTCTCATTTTCAACCATTTTAATAAAGATTCAAATACATTTTAATCTTTTGAAAAGTACAAATGGAAGTTAAAAGTTTAATCTACAGTAGGTAAACCTCATCATCAGTGAACTATGGGCGTCCATGGCCCTGTCTCCAGTTCACCATTTGTCCTTCCTTAGACACTGTTGGTAGGTACTAACCACTGCAGACCAACACCCACCAAGACCTGCAGTGTGGGAGATGCTCTGACCATCACAGTTTGGCCCTTGTCAAAGTCACTCAGATCCTTATGCATGGCTGTTTTTCCTGCTTCTAACTTTGAGGACTGGATGTTCACCTGCTGCCTAATATACCCCACATACTGACAGGCACCACTGTAACAGATAGTCAGTGTTATTCACTTCACTTGCCAGTGGTCATAATGTTATACCTGATTGGTGTATTTTCTCAGTACAATTAAACATCCTCCACTAAAAGAGTAGCTAAAAATCAAACAAGCAACATATTATTAAATAGGGTTAGTGTGATTTTAGTCAAAATCTCTGGGTGCATCTTCACAGTGTCAAAATATCACTGGTCTATGCAGTGGATGCTGTTGACGTGCTCCTGTTTTAGCAGGTGGACAGTTGACAGTGCAGAACTGGGTGAATGTTGACGCAGAATTACCACCAACACTCCCTCAGCAGCACACCAACAGTCACCAAAACACTAAACCACAATCACCACGGGAAAGAAAGCATACTTCATCTTAGAAAAAAAAACATTACACAAGTCTGGTACAAAGATACACATAGCTCATAATCAATATTTATTCATCTTGCACTTCCCTCCAACACTACTGCAGGCAGTTGCTGCTGTAATATAATACAGTAGAAATAAATGAGGGCAGTGAAGTGACTCCTGCTAGTGTGTCATCAGCCCTCCAGCACAGCAAGTGAAGTGAACATGTTTGTTGACCAAGTTCACCGCTTGGAGGCACAAACAAGATGTAAGCTGGCTAAACATTATTGCACTGTGTCACTGTGTGGGTGTGTGTAAACGCTGGGTGCAGTTTCTGGACTGATTTTCTTGGGACAACGCAGAAGTCACCAGAGCAGCAAGATGATTAACTGTGGTCAGAGGGGTAAACACTTCAGATGACACCTTCCTGTTTTCCATTAACAAAATAGAATTTACAGTCATTTTAGAGTCACATGACCAAGAGTACTGAACCCAGTCGATTGATTAGGTAATTACCATCATTAATGTTTATATCCAAATTTGAACAGATACTGTAAATGTTTCAGATGAATTGCCTCAGTTACACAACAACAAATGAAGCCACACGTCCAATGGGCAGCCAGTACCAACAGGTCCACATCAGGCCTGCAAATTATTTAATTTTTTTTTTATTTAAAAGAAGAAAAAAACTAGGCAAAAATAAAAACCTAAACATAAATGGTGGGTACCTGTATACACATACACCGGTAAACACTTGTTCCTCAGTATGTTAACCTTTTTCATTACCATCTGTGGGTACAGTGTTCACAGTAGTGTTGAAGGAGTTGAAGAACATATGAGCCATATTATATACTGTGTGTTGAATGCTGGATATTTTTATGTATTGTCTTTTTTGTGTTTTTTGGGGCAGCTGTGGTTCAGGAGGTAGAGTGGGTCATCTCTTAACCACCAATGAGGCGGTTCAATTCCTAGCTTCTCCAGTCCACATGTTGAAGACATGTCAAACATAAGACACTGAACCCCAGACTGGTCCCAGTGGCTTTGCCACTGGCGTGTGAATGTAAGAATGCAAAAGTGAGAAAGGCTAATGATGTGAAAGTGCTTTAAGTGTGCTTTGGTGCATAGAAATGCACTATACAAGTCTAAGTCCATTTACCATTTTGACTGTCTTGCACTTCCAGTTGACCTGGAAGCTTTATACTGGTTATGATGTGACTTGCTTTGTTCTTCAAGCTTTGATGAAGGCTAGTGCAAGATCACCTGGTAAACAAATGGTTATGACAAAAGTTTATGGCTTGATTCTAGCAGAGGACCTTTGTTGCATGTCATACTCTCTCTCTCTCTCTCTCTCTCTCTCTCTCTTTCTTGATCTCCCCATATTTCCTGTCTGCATCTTTGCAGTGTGCTTTAGAATAAAGGCAAAATCAGAAAAAGTTGAGATGGTATGTAAAATTAAAACTGAAAATAGTGATTTGTAAATCATCAGTGTCCTGTGTTACATTGAAAACAATACAGCAGCACATTATCTGATGCCTCATCAATTTTATTCTGTGTTCAAAATAAACACTCCAATTCTGATGCTGCAACACATTCCAACAAAAGCTGCATTCAGGGCCAGTAATGAGGTAAAACAATGAAATGATGATTACATGTGAAACAGGTGATGTCAACAGGTGACTGCATCATGATCCGGTACAAAGTGGCATCTGGGAAAGGCTGAGCCCTTTAGGAGCAAAGATGTGCCGAGGACCACCAGTTTGTCAACATATGTGTGAGAAAATTACTGAAATGTTTAAAAACAATGTTCCTCAAAGAAAGATAGGAAGGGATTTGGACATGTCACCCTCTATGGTGCAGAATATCATTAAAAGATTCAAGGAATCTGGAGGGATTTCAGTATGTAAAGGGCACAAGACTCAGCTGGATGACCGAGCTCTCTGGTCCCTCAGACGGCACTGCATCAAGAATCGTCATCTTCTATAAGTGATATAACCACATGGGCTCAGGAAGACTTTGGCACACCTGTGTCAGGCACTGCAATACGTAGTTACATCCATAAATGCTTCTCAAACTTGTACTGTACCAAAAGGAAGCCCTGTGTCAACATGTTTATTCATCATAAATACAAAACAGCATGATTCTATTGAGTGTAGAAAATGGAACTTTACAGTTTCAAATTAAAAGTTTTTACAAACTATTTGCAAATAACACTTAATCCAAAAGCACAAGACAACTATATAGTTAGAGAATTGAGGGGATCGTAAGATTGTTTTTGTGGGCTGAGGGGTAGTGAAAACGGACAACAGGTAGGTGTGTCTTATACTCAGAGATGAACTCTTTTGTGAATGGTGGAGACTTTGGAGCAGGATGACAGAGACTGCAGAGAAGATGGCAGCATGAAGAGTAGATGGTGGACCATGAAGGTAGGTGACCAAGTAATGATGGAATGGTTCTTTTGACAGGAAACAATGTCGCTGGAGAAACACAAAGCAGGAGAAAAATGGGTGAGTATGTGCAGAAGCATAACACAGAGGAAAAGCTTCCTCCAAATAAATTTTCTCCTCTTCTGTGTGCACACAGTAAACAGGTATTGAGTTCAACCCAAAAATACACTGAAGAGCAGAGAATCTACAGTCTGATAATCAGAAATAGGTTGGTGTAGGCAACAGGTCCCTCCAGACTGAGGAGAATCCATAATCCTGTAGTTAGAGGCAAACAAACTTGATCAGAAGTCACAACAGAAAGGTTGAGAGCAGACTTTCAAATCCAGAAATCACCAAGGCAAAGTGAGGGGATCAGAGGCAAATACAGGCCTGCAACAGGTTCAGGGGCAAAGCTGGGGGGCGAAGAGATTCATACCCATCATCATACTGTACAATCTGTCACTGAGTGAAAGAACAAGGTAGGTTAAATAGTCAGTAGGAAACAAACCACAGGTGAAAGCAAGAAAGCACATGCTGTTAACAGAGTAGGCAGAAATGACATGGGGCCAAGAGAGTAGACTGAAATCCACAGGAAACAGAAACCCACCACGACACCATTAGGTCTGGCTGACAAAAACTGCCTTCAAATAACAGGTACTAAAGCATTTAGGCTTTCTGAAACAGACACTGTTCCCTTAATTCTAGGGCGGCCAATCCCCCTGTTTCCCCTTTACAATGTACCTTTTCTTCTGCTCCCTTCATCTCATCCATGAAATCACAACATTCACTGGAGCATCAAACGCAATACACTCCTGCACCCCACACTTTCCATTTCCTAACCTATATTTATCTTCCACTAAACCTCTGTCTTCTGCACCATACTGTTTCCTGTGTCCCCTGCACACACAATCCTCCAGAGTAGACACACAGTAAAACCAAACTCTATTAACCACATCCTAAGACATCTTC